AGTAAATGTTTCAAGTCCTCTTCACTTTCAGCGATCAAGGTTGTATCATCTGCATATTGTAGGTTGTTAATGAGTCTTCCTCCAATCCTGATGCCACATTTTTCTTCATAGAACCCAGCTTCTCGTATGCAAAACTACCTGACTCTAAACTGACTATATTAATATATAAGCAGTACTGTGCAGATGGGCATCCTTTTAAAAGTCTTAATAATTTACTGAATGAACACTGTTGCTTATATTCCCAAATGCTACAAATAAAGAAAACTATATTTTACTTCCTTAAAATATAACTCTGTGAACACAGTTGTCTATTTAGGTATAATTAATTGGTCCTTCTAATGACTTGATGTTTGTGGGTGGAGATGGTAGAACGGCTATTGATCTCCATTCTAACTTTTTTGCATTATTGTACCGGGGAGACCAGAAATCAAAAGTAGCATTTCCAGCTATCTGTGTACCTGAGATTCTGAACAAACATTTAAGCCTTGTTAACCAGATAGTGTGAGTTTTGGAAGGCATAAATGAGGAGAAGTCTGTACTTTTGCTATTTCTTAAGTTTGATCACTAATATGTATGCTTCAGGAGACAGTCCAGGGCACGTATTTTGCCTATGAGTGAGAATAGCAACAGGTACACTGTCATTCCTGTGTAGCTGGTTACTGTCTAATGTAAAAGAGGTACTAGACAGCTTCTTAAATAACTTTGGAGATATTGAACACTCAACATACAATCTGTCCAAATAATTGCATAAACCATTAAAAGCCTTCAATACATTTTTCTTTCTTAAGCACTGAGAGTAAATTTTGTTTTTTTGTAACTGACTCCAGACTGGTACTGGGTTGGAAAAGAAAATAAACTTTTAAGTATATTTGTATAGATAATTGTTGACATCTAAGAATAAATTTTTGAACTGATTTTAGATCAATGTTCTTGGTATACTTACATAAGCAATATAATAGCAGGCATATTATTCAGGTAATGACAAATGATAAATATTAAAAACTCTGACAACAAATTTACCTAATGTTTGATTTTGTCCCCAGAAGATAACAACTCCCAAATCACTGCCTGCATAATTTTTAGGAAGATATGTCAGAAGGACATCCATTTGTGAGTCTCCATCATAATCCCCAGGAACTACACTGGTTATCAATGCACTGTGATTCCTAAACAAAGGAAACATTTGAAAATATCCAGTCAAACTATAATAAAAAAAAACCTCTATATTTCCACTATATTCAATGTATTTTTAAAACGAAATTTAAAATTTCACAGAATTAATTAATTTCACTTTCTCTTTTATTTCTTATCCCCTTTAATGAAGAGTACAGAGCTCAGGATTTGATGCAGAGTAGTCAGCAGTGAATTGGGCTGCTAACCTCAGGGTCAGCAGTTCGAAACTACCAGCTATTCCGCAGGAGAAAGATGAGGCTTTCTGCTCCCCTAAAGATTTACAGCCTTGGACACCCTGTACAGGGTTGCTATGAGTCGGAACCGACTCCACGGCACATAACAAGAACAAGTCAGCAGTTAGAAACTAACAATGGTTCTGAGGAAGAAAGATGAGGCTTTCTGCTCCTATAAAAATTTACAGCTTTGGAAATCCTTATTCAGGGTCCCTATGAGACAGAACTGATTGCAGGGCATAGGACCATAACCAATGTAATGGCTAGGAGTCCTGCTATGGTGCTTGCAGGTTAATGTGCTGAACTGCAAGTTCACTAGCTGCTTCTAGGAAACCCTACACTGGGGTGCTATATGTCAGAACTGAAGAACTGACTCGAAGGCACTTAAAATAACAACAATGTGATGACTGGAACTGTGGTTGCCTTGACAGGGCCAGACCAAATGATTTCGCAGACCTTACATGGTCTCCTATTGTGGTACTGTAAGATCAGCAAAAGACTGTGAACCACAAGGTCAACAGTTCAAATCCATGAGCTGCTCCTTAGAAACCTTATACAGGATCACTTACAATCAGCACTTAACAACATATGGCCCAAGGGCTGGACGTTCCCCATTCCTGCTGTACAGGGTCACTGAGTCAAAACTGACTTCATGGCAGTTAACAACAACAACATAGAATATGTTTAAATTTGGGGGCTTTGTCTCCCCAAAAAAAGCATATACATCAAATTTTCAGTATTAGTTGGCTTTATGGGAGTTGGTTAGTAACATAAATCAGATGCTGGTAACCTGGAAGTGCTTGTACATTAACTACCCAAATATATACATCTAATTTTATCTTTTAGCCATAAAATACCCTAAAATTTTTATTAAACTTGAAAACAACAAAACATCCTGGAGTCTTATCATACTGTTGTCTCAGTGACTCAACCAACACACAGGGCTTCAATTCAATTTATATTGACTTCTACTTGGAGCAAATAGAAAGCAGGTTTCCAATCAGACAATAGATTATTTCCTAAATAGCATCAAAACTCTAAAAAAATGTACATGTAGATTTTATTTAAAGTGAAAAAAAAGATTATCTAGAAAAACAAGATAATAGTCTTTTTATTATATATCTATTTACTATCCCAGATAGTGTATCATATGCTTACTGTCTCATTTTAATCTTTACCGCCTGAAATAGGTATTATTATCCTCATTTAACAGACTAAGAATCTGTGGTTCAGAGCATTAAGCAGATTTCAGGATTAAAAAGGCTAGTTTAAACGGAATCACTGGAATTCCAATACAATTGTGTGGTCATCATGGCAGTTTCTTCAAAGGATTCCAACACACTTGAACCTTCCCATGAAAAATTATTGTTTTTGTTATGTGCTGTGGAGCTGGTTCCAACTCATAGCAACCCTGCACAGGGTTCTCGAGGCTGTTAATCTTTACAAGAGCAGAAAGCCTCATCTTTCTCTCGCAGAGCAGATGTAGTTTCGAATTGCTGACCTTGCGGTTTGCAGCCCGATTCGTAACCACTATGTTACCAGAAAAATACTTTCTTTAAAATAGTGAGGTATAATATGTACATCTGTTAACCAGTGACCCTCAGGTTGCTTCAAACTCGTGGCAACCTTATGTGTGCCAGAATAGAGCTGGACTCCTTAGGATTCAGTACTGATTTTTTTAGAAGTACATCACCATGCCTTTCTTTTTCAAGATGCCAGTAGGTGGACTCAAACCTCCACCCTTTTGTTTAGCAGCTGAAGTTGTCCAAGGAAAGGCTCATAGAAAGAAAGCTTTATTCCCTGAAGAAGACCTTATAGGCACAGATTTAGGAGTTAGGATGATGAGACTTAAATTCCTGCTCTTCGGGCATGTTGTCAGCAGGGACCAGACCCTGGAGAACAGCAGGCTCGAAAATGCAGAGCTGTTCTAAATGCAGTCAAGTAGATTTTGACTTACAGCTACCCTGTATAGGGTTCCAAGAAGTGTCTGGTGGATTTGAACCACCAACTTTATAGTTAGCAACCCAGTGCTTATCCAACAGTGCCACATCAGGAAAAGTGGAGGGTGAGTGAAAAAAAGGAAGATCTTCAGTGAGATGGACCACACAGTGACAGCAACAATGGGCTCAAACAGAACAATTATGAGGGCCCTGTTTCTTTCCTTCTGTTGTGCACAGAGCTGCTATGAGTTGGTGCCAATTCCAAGGCATCTAGCAACAACAGAAATAGTGGAAGACAGGAAGAATGCAGAGATTTGAAAATAGGGTTATTTGAAAATCAATATTCTAAGTAATGGCCCCCTTCTCCCTCTGGCTCAGTAAAGCAAGAACGAAATCCATTCTCTGCAGTTTCAGGCAATGGTGATTTAAATCACTGCAGAAGGTAAGGGAGAAACCTTAAGCTAAACACAGGGAGTTAACAGAAAGTCTACAAAGAGTCCTGGTGTGTGGTGCTGTAGGATAAGCACTGGATTGCTAACTGAAAGGTCAACAGTTCAAACCCTCTAGCTTCTCCTAGGAAAGCCTATATAGGAGCAATAAGAGTCAGAACTAGCTCAAAGGTACTTAACAACAACAACAACAACAACAAAGAATAACTTGACATTTGCTCACAGCTCCACCCTATTCCTACAATGCCAGCCCACCAGGAACATACCCACAGGGTAAGAAACAGTAAACAATCCCACCCATGCACAGAGCATCCAACAAGCTCCGGAGGACCTTCTCTTAAATAGGAGTGTGCCTTCCTGGAAGTTCCCACAGTGATCCTGTATAGGTACTCTGAGGACCTGGGGTTACCACAGACCCTGTGGTTCAAACCGACCTTGCATTCCAGTGCTTATCCTACACTGCCATACCAGGACTCCAAATATAATTATTGTTGTTAAGTGCCATCTAGTTTATTCTAACTCATAGTGATCTTGTATAGGGTTTCCGAGAAGGGGCTGGTGAGTTTGAACCGCCAACCTTACAGTTCAAACTGACCTTGCAGTCCAGTGCATTATCCTGCAGTGCTACACCAGACACATTTAAATAAAATAGAATCTGGAATAAAACTATGAATATTAAAGAAAGTCAAAACAAACAGCATTAAGGATCCTGAAAAGTAGAAATAATGGAGGAAACAAAAGAAAACTTCAAAACCATACTTGGAGAGACAAAGCAAAATCTTGTGACTCACAGAAACCCTATAGGGCTGAACAGAATTGCCTTATGATAGGTTATCAAAGGCCGCAAATCTTTATAATTGCCTAATAATAGGTTATCCAAGGCTGCTGACCTTTTTTTTTTTAATTGTTGGAAATAAAATCAAATTTCTATGTAAATTTTCACCCAAATCACAAAAGTTAAATAATAACGAAAAGAAAACAGAATGGGCATGGTCTTTATCTGCATATAGCATGTTTTTGATGTTGTTAAATGCCATCAAGTCAGTTCCAACTACTAACAACCCTAAGTACAACAGAATTAAATACTGCTGCTGATCTTTTTAAAGTGCTGAAGAGCAAAGATGTCAGCTTGAGGATTAAGGTGCCACTTTAAGCCATGGTATTTTCAATACCTTCATATGCATGCAAGAGTTAGACAGTGATAAGGAAGCCCGTAAAAGAATTGATGTATTTGAGTTACGGTGTTGGAGGAGAATATTGAAAGTACCATGGAATGCCAAAAGAACAAACAGATCTGTGTTGGAAGTAGTGCAGCCAGAGTGCTCATTGGAGGCCAGAATGGCCAAACTTCATCTCTTCGGACATACTGTCAGGAGGGACCAGTTGTGGGAGAAGGATTTTATGCCTGGTAAGGTGGACGGTCCGAGAAAAAGAAGAAGACTCCCAATGAGATGGACTAGCAAATGCAGCATCAATGGGCTCAAGTGTGGCAACAATTATGAGGTTAGCCCAGGACCGGGCAGTATTTTGTTCTGCTGTGCATAAGGTCGTTATGAGTTGGTACCGAGGCTTTCTACTCCCATAAAGATTTACAGCCTCGGAAACCCTGTTCAGGGTCGCTATGGGTCAGAACCGACTCGACGGCACTTAGCAACAACATGGCACCTAACAAGGTTGCAAATTGTATGGAAGCAGAATGCCACAGCTTTCTTCCTCAGAGTAACTGGTGCATTCAAACCACTGACCATGTGGTTATCAGCCAAGAGTTTTAACTACTATTACACCTGGACATAAGAGAAGTAAATATAAAAGAACAGTATGTTAAAAGAAAAGAACAATAAGACAACAAAGAAAATCTCTTGGAAATTAAATATATGACAGCTAAAATAAAAAATTCAACAGAAGACTTGGAAGGTAAAGCTGAGAGAAGAGAGAACCTCCTGAAAAGAAAAATAAAACAAAGTGACAGAAAATAGATAAGATAAAGGGATGAAGGATGAAGGTCAGGCAGTCCAGTTACCAGTAGATGGGAAATCTTGAAAAAACAACAAAAATTATCAAGGAAATAAAATAAGAACTTCATAGAGTCCCCAAAGATAGAAACTTTCAGTATGAATTGGCCCAACAAAGATCAGATAACTGACTGAAAAATAATCTACACCAAGGTATTTCATGAAATTTCAGAGCAAAAGGAATAAAGAAGAGACTAACAGCTCTCAAAATTAAAAATAATACAAGTCATATTTGAAGGAATAAGAAAAGAATGCCACTGGAGTTTTCAACAACCATGCAGGAAACTGGACGACCATTAGCCGACCCAACTGTAACAGTGAGCGACTAAAAAAAGTTGTTGGGCATGCAAAGACTGATTATGCATCCTTTCTTGGGAATTGTATGAAGGTTGCGATACAGTGAAATAAAGGATGAAACAAAGAAGATAGCATAGGACCCAGGAAATAAGGGATCAAAAACAGAATTAAAAGCATCCTGGTGTGGTGCTGTGGGTTAATGCACCAGACTGCAAAGCCATTTGAACACAAGGTTGGTGGTCACATTCACCAGCTGCTCCTCAGAAACCATATACAGGGTCACTATGGGTTGGAATCGACTCAATGGCACTTAACAACAAAAACAGTCCATTCCCCTAGCGTTGATTCTGGCTCTTATTGAACAGCAAAGGGGAAAGTACCCAGTGTAAAGGATTCACTGGGGAAAACAAAAATGCATGATATGGTATATGGCTATTATCTGCAGAGAAATTAAAGCTATACAAATTGAAAACTGCAATTTATTTTTTTAAAAGAAACCATTTACTTCTGGGGAGGAGGTAGTAAGGGAACTATATAAAAAGTGAAATACTATACTGTTGTGCGGCACTATAGGATCAGCACTGGACTTCTAATCACAAAGTTGGTAGTTCAAACCAACCAGTCGCTCCTTGGAAACCCTATACAAGGTCATTATGAGTCAGAACTGACTTGAGGGCACTTAACAACAACTTGGTTCTGAAACACACAGAATCCGCATGGTCAAAATATAAATAGCAATTACTGACTTAACAAAAATTCTAATACACCTACATTGAAATGATGAACATAATTATAATAGGCCAAATCCTTATATATTCTAATAAAAATATAAATAAAAATAAAGAGATGGAAATGAGAAATAATAAATCAAGAAATTAAGGTAAATAAGTATTTTAAAATATGGAAATAAATACCAGAATAGCTACAAATTTTACAATTAGTTGTTTTTGAAAGAAAAATAGGGATTGAAAGAGGAAAATGGTAAAAGATAACTATCTTTACATTGAAAATAATGCTAAATAAAAAAGCAGCGTTTACAAATTTTAAAAATGTATAAAACAATTAACATTGAATTAATCAGAGAAAAAATATTTTTTAAGTTAGTAGAACCCAAGCTATTTATAACCCATAAGTTTCTTTAACTTCTATTCTTCCACAAAAAATAACATCTAGACAGTAAATGCAGTTTTGGTATACATTTATCAACTTCTGTTCCCTCCATTACTCCATGCATGCTGACGTCTAGTACCCAAGAACATGGGAAATATATTTCCTGTTTATCCATTTGTAACATTCCTCTTATTTTTAACTCAAGGCATCATATTTTTTGGAAAAACAAAATAAAACAAAAAATTGTTTAAGTATTATAGAGTCCAAACACTCATTATTCCATACCACATTTTTATAACAGTTTCCCAAGTAGTCTCTCATTTTTCCCCTACCAAATCATCCTACATATGGTTAATAAGTATTGTCAACTTAAAACAGACTTCACTATCTCTTCTTGGCACAAGAACCTGTAATGATTTCTCACTGTCCATCGAATCAAGGTCAAATTCTCTGATAACTATAAAGGTCACCCATTAACCTTGATAGCATCTTCCTACCCTATAACTCTACAAAATGTACCCTTAACTTCTGAAGCAAAACTTCTATCCCTTTCTTCATAACATACTGTTTTTATAGCTTTCCTTTGTAAATGTTATGCTGTCAACCTTGAACACCCCAATCTAAATTTTATTCATTCTAAAATCAACCTGAGGGCAATTAAGAATAACATGAAGCTCAAGTCCAATGACGTGGAAGCTGCCTCACTGGCCTGTACTGAGCATCTCTTCCTCCTTCAACTCTGACAACAATCAATCTTGCTTCTTACAGTTTCAAAACTTTGTTGACCCACTATCGCTGAGGGCACTGTATTTTTCATGCAATGTCAGTCATAGAAAAAGAAAAATGAGAGCTGCTATTTGAATATTTTTTTAAATTCAGTTATCAAAAACTTTTAAATTTCCAGTTTGATGAAGGATGAAGTTCATAACAAACTCACTATTGATAAACAAAAAATTAGAATAGAAGTCATTAATCTTTTCTTCACTGCACACTACCCCCTCTCGCCAGTACCTGGTTGATCTGAGAGGCTTCCTGTGAACGATTTGCTACCACATGCAAACTCAGCGGGAGTCATAGCTCCCAACACATTTAAGAAAGCATATTAGCTTGCAAGGGAATATAGGGCTTCTTTATAGAAACAGACCAGAATCCACTCAAATTTATGTTTTTATAAAGTAAATCATTTTTAAATTTAGTACTTTCTCTATTTTTCTTAACAACAATTTGCTATTTATAACTCATAACTAATGTCTTTGTGTCACTATATAACATTGAGTTAGGTTGATTTCAGAGATATTCCAATCAGTTATTGCATATTCATTTATTACACTAACAATGAATATTTTATAGAAACAAATATATTTGTACTTACTTCAAGGATAGTTTTACTTTGGGTTTAAAATAAGGTGCGTTCTGGTCTGCCAAAAAGACGATTAAATCATTTCCTAAAAGAAATAAATGTACGATATTAGAAAAATGTTTCCTAGTAAGAAACCCAATCAGTGATTACAAGACGCTTTTCAGGTACTTTTCTCAGGAAGAAAACAAATTCCACTCCAGTTTATCTGTCCACTCCAGTTTACCAAGGAGAATTCTACTAGTCTAATGGAATCATTATTGTTGTTAACAAAAGTGCCTTCAAGTCGGTTCTGACTCATAGCGGCCCTGTATAGGGTTTCCGAGGAGATACTGGTGAACTTGAACCGCTAACCTTGCGGTTCAAACTGACAGTGCATTAATCCACAGGGACACCCCAGGACTCCAATCTAATGGAATAGCATCTCCAAACAGCACAGCACAAGTTCAACATTGAACGCAAAGAGAAATAGGCACTGAAAACCTTAGTGGATGAGGAAAAACTGAAGTCAATGGCTTCTGCCAGGTGTCAAATCAGATGATGTAAAAAAAAAGACATACAAGAACATGACTTCTAGCTTTATTGGAGGCCTTGTTGTGGTTAGATGTAGTTCAGTCAGTTCTGACTCATAGTGACCCTATACAAAACAGAAACAAACACTGTCTTGTCTGGTCCTGTGCCATCCTCACAGTTGTTATATGTTTGAGCCCACTGTTGCTGCTGCTGTGTCAGCCCATTTCATCGGGGTCTTCATCGTTTTTGCTAATGCTCCACTTTACCAAGCATGATGTCCTTCTCCAGGAACTGGTCCCTTCTGACAACACATCCAAAGAACAAGAGCAAAGTCTCACCATCCTTGCTTTTAATGAGCATTCTGGCTGTACTTTTTCCAATACAAATTTGTTTCTTCTTTTGGCAGTCCATGGTACTTTCAGTATTCTTTGCCAACACCATAATCATATGCATTAATTTTTCACTGGTCTTTCTTATTCATTGTCCGATTTTCACATTCATATGAGGAGACTGAAACTACCTTGGCTTGGGTCAGGCACACCTTAGTCCTCAAAGTCATATTTGCACTTTAACACTTAAAAAGTCCTTTTGAAGCAAATTTGCCTAAAGCAATATGTTGTTTGACTTCTTGATGGCTGCTTCCAAGAGAGTTGGAGGTCTTATCTTTCCCAAATCTAACAACACAGTCCCTGCTAAGGCTGTTTCACACAGTTATCACATAAAGGACACAAGAATTCCCACTGTAGGTATCTGAGAGTTAACAAAGAATTGATTAAGGAGAAAAAGCTGAACTCTACAAGACTTTTCTCTTGCTCCAATGGAACCATTCCTCCAGTTGATGCATTTTTGGAGCACAAGAAGCTTTCACTGGGACAGACTTGAAATTGTTGAACCAAACCACAGGCCATCTAAAGTATAGAGAGTTTCTGTGTCTACTCTGGATGGAGTTTGGCATTGAGTCAGACTAAGAGAAAATCTCAGGAGCCACAAGATACTCTGAGATCCTGACAAAGGCTCCCAGAAGGCTGGCCCAGGATCCTGTCAGTCAGGATCTATGTCAGCTCTTAACTTACTTCCTCTGTATCCCTGACTTTAAGCAGCACCTGCTTTTGTTGAGAACTCGAAAACACTAGGACACATTGACAGCATTAACATTAAAAGTTTGTCTAGTAATAGTTAAAGCAAAGAATTTCCAAGATCCTTTCAGTTGACAAAGAAAGTGGGACTTAGAAAACTATACAGTGACACAGGTGATGTGCACACAAGACGAGATAGTTTGGAAGAGCGGAAATTGCAGTTCAGTAGCTCTGGTAGCATAGTGGTTACGAATCGGGCTGCGAACCTTAAGGTCAGCGGTTCGAAACTACCAGCCGCTCCGCGGGAGAAAGATGAGGCTTTCTACTCCCGTAAAGATTTACACCCTCGGAAATCCTGTACAGGGTCGCTATGGGTCGGACCCGACTCGATGGCACTTAACAACAACAACAACAACAACGCTTCTAGAAGAGATACTGGGGTTTATCAATGGTCCCTGCTAAAGACCTCTCTATGAGATGTAGAATGTTTAGGTCTTTGAAAAGGCACTTGCTTCTGAGAAAGCTGGGATTCTGTAAAGAGAGGGGCAAGTGAGTTAGGTAAGTGGGGAGGCAGAAAGAAGTCTCCTATAAGAAATTCAAGGTGCATCTTTCCCAGTTCACTAAAGGAGAAAGGGGCTTGGGGACAAAAACGCAAAACGGAAGGAAGGGGCCTTGGGAGCCAATGCAGAGCCAAGCAACCAACAGTCCTGGGAATCAGAAAGGACTTTGCAAGGCAAGTGATTTCATGAGAACGACGGTGCCTGGGTGAAGGACAGAGGCTTTGTAGGTTTAAAAAATGGGCGTTGCCAGGACTTTGGGGTACATCAAACCGTGGAATAGCCGAATTAGGCCCGGGATTGGAAATGAGAAAAGGGGCAAGCTGTCAAGGATGCTGGAGCTAAGAAGAGGGAGGCAAGCCCAAGAGACAAGGGTCCGGGAAGTGCAGGAAAACCTGTCACTGGGTCTGGGGATGTGGGGGACACCAGAGCAGGGCACAGGGACGGCGGGCAGAGGGAGGGCCAGGCAAGCACTGACTTTCCCGAAGCACGAAGAGGTCCGTCTGCTTGTCGGAGTTGAGGTCTCCGAAGGCCGCTACTGTGCCCCAGGCCTCAGCCCCAAAGAGTTCGGCCGTGACGTTGTGCAGCGCCCACGCCGGGGCTGGCCCGACTACTAGTAGCGCGAGCCCCACTAGCAGCGGCGCCAGCAGTACCCAGGAGCTCAGTAGCCTGTCTGCCGCCGCCATGGCAGCCTCTCGGCCCCCGCCCTTCGGGCCAGCGCCGCGCTTGACGGCAGCCGTAAAGCGCCGTGCCACCGGCTGAGTGAGAAAACACTCAGCCCCGAGACGCGTGCAAGCCGCCCTCCGCTCCTCGCTCACTCTCCCCTTGGGCCGCCCTTCCGACGCTTGGGAGGCAGTGGACCAAGACTGAAGCTAGCTCTTGCGTTCACTTCCGGCCGGCACGCCTCTCGACAGTGTCGTGCGGGGGGGCGGGGCCAGGAGGTCTGTGTTGACTGGCGGCCCAGGGGCGGTGACCACAGCGTCTGTCGGAGCTCGATGGCGGGGGCGGCGGGGCTTGCGACCGAAGTGAGCTGGAAGGTCCTGGAGCGAAGAGCTCGGGCCAAGCGCTCAGGTTTGACTGACTGGGGCGCCACCCCATACCTGCACATCGTGGGTGGTACTCCCTCTCAAAAGCCCTGGGTGGAAGACTGGTGGGGTCCTAAAAGTGAAGCTGTGCCCTGTGCTTCCCCTCAGAAAGCAGGTGGTGGCCCAGTGCTCATTTCTAATACACCCCCACCCCACCCCCACACACCTGTAGAATTAGGTGGCACACTCCACTCCAGTTGTGTGCCCATCAGAGAGCTGGCATGGCAGCTCTTGGAGTCTTTACCTTAGAAATCAGCTGGCGTCCACGTTCCACGTTCCAGGAAAGTGAGCGTGTTCCTTTTTAAGTGTGATCCTCCGCAAAAATCACATCGTTTCTGTCTTAGATAAGACTATGAACTGGCCTTAGAAGGCCTGTCGTGGTCGTTGCCCCATTGCATACCTTTCTTTTACATTCCTCACATTACAGTCTCAGCCTTAGCAGAAATTGAAGGGCATAGAACCATAGGGCACGAACAGGGTCACCTGGGCGTACTTAGCATTCAGAAGGAAGGGGCACTGCAGGCAAATACGATTTCCAGTTGTGGCTCCCCAACCACAGGCCCCCAAAGTCAGAAGATGCCCTGCCACCATTAGCAGCAGTTCAAGTGTCCTGAACTGACTTGTTCAAATTGCAGAGTCACGACTTTGAAGTAGCACTTGTGGCCTACAACTGCTCCTAGAGTAATAACTGAAACTTCCCTTCTTCTTGGCTAGCTGGAAATAAAGGAGCTAAAAATGCACCTCAAATCAGGAAACGTGTTTGAATGACAATTCTGAAGTTAAGGACCTTTTAAAACATTGGCTATACTTTTTATCACTATTAGGGAATGCTGGTGCAGATTTAAGAGGAAAATTGTCTTTGGAAAATGAACTTTGCATTTGCAAGGATATTCAGATGAGTTTTTTTCATTAAGAACAAACATGCTGTCTTTATGTTTGGGGTTTGCCCATTTATTAACGTTTTCCTTGTCTGTTGTGCACAGTGCCTTTTTCTTTCTTTCTTTTTTTTTTTAATTTGGAGGAAGTATCTAATTGTGCAAATTGTCCAGGAGAATTTCACCCAATCTTTGTTGCCAGTTTCATTCTGTTTTAAAAAGAAAAAAAAAAAGTGTATTTATTGGCTAAAATGTAAAACCACTTACAAAATATGAGAGATTTTTTTTTTTTAAGTAGTTGTTAGTTCAAGTCAGTTCAGTTACTTGTAATGGTCACATGTCTTTTGTTTTACATTTTTCTAAAACTTCAGATATACAGATACAAATAAATAGCTGTCTGAACTGTAAAACATGCTACTAACATGATGAATAACTGGACAGAGATTAACGAGAGTTTTCTTACAGAGAAATGAGCTCTTTCTGCTCGCAGCACACATTTTTGCCACATTACAGCTTTTCTTTTAAAAGCCTCCAGGATTTGTTTTCTTTGGTTTTCATTTCTTTTGAATTGCATGGCATAACAGAAATAAGTTTGAAACTTTTTTTTCCTTTTAACTGAGAAAAAAGTTTTAAATCTTATTTAACTTGTTGAATATAGTCACTTAGGTTCAGTGCAAAGTAGTTAAATACATAATATCAGTGTTGAATATTTCACTACGTGTACATGTAGGAGAAGAGCTACCAGCTGAAGTCAGTCCTCCAGATTAGTAGTTATGTTTGAAGTTTTAGATTCGCTTGATAACTCTGTGAAGGGTAGACTTATCCAGCTTCTTGAGTGAATCAATTCTTATAATATTAAAAGCCATCAAAAGAAAATGTAAACAGCTTTGTCTGAAGACTATACTGACATGATTGATGTAGACTACAATGCCGACTTCTGAGCATTATTACATAGTAGCATAATCACTGAACAATAGAGGATGCTCATCTTACATAACATTTAATAAGTATTATATATTCCCTGCCAAATCCATATAAGCAAATGTAATTTATCAAAGCAAATCAAATTTTCAACTCATAAAAGAGAAAATAAAATTATAATGAACCATAATTACTGCCTTTGTTACGCACTGCATCATGTTAATAATGGCTCACACTGCTTTCAATTAATCTAATGCTGATTGCTTCTAACCTTCACTAAACAGTTTTGAAAATTGCTGTAGTTTAGCCTGTGACGCTTATGATTAGAATCATCAGTTTGAAATGGCCAGCTCACCTGATGTGGTTGTCTCCTCGCCGCCCACTTTCTTAAGGTCTGGTAAGTGTATAGACCCCAAAAGGGTCACTTGGTATTTTTTAAATCCTTTTTATTCTGAAAATTTATGTCAACTATAATAGCATTTTAGCACTGTTTCTTCTTTGGTAGGCCCAAGCTGGATCCCGATTTCTGCTATTGTTCTGTTCAGGTTTGCACTGTGTTTTGAGTATGACCTGTCATGGTGTGCAAGGCCTGGGAGGAGCTGGGAGTGGGGATTCCTCGCCTACCCTGACATACAGAAAACTGTTTAGCTAGAGGCAGTTAGGTTTCTTCTGTTTCTGGAAACCTCAGCTGTCAATTGAGTAAAAAGGCAGCTCCTTAAACCATTTTTGATCTTTATAAAATAACTTTTATAATTAAGTAGTTTTTGGTCATTGCCCGGTAGCCCCAACTTTTCAACTCCCTATGATATAAAGGAGCTCTGGTAGTGTAGTGGTTACGAATCGGGCTGTGAACCGCAAGGTCAGCAGTTCGAAACTACCAGCTGCTCCACGGGAGAAAGATGAGGCTTTCTGTTCCCGTAAAGGTTTACAGCCTCGGAAACCCTCTTTAGGGTTGCTGTGGGTCAGAACCGACTCAACGGCACTTAACAACAACAACAACATGATATATGTAGCATCTACACATTTCCATAGGCATGAAACAGAAGGTCACAGAGGTGAAGCTACTTGCGCCACATTAATAGACTGTGATTCAAGGCCATATGCTTTCTGCCCCATCCCCTGGCATCTCCATGTGAGGACTGAAGGAAACGTCTGTGCAAGGGATTGTAGTTGATAGTAGTTGGTGCATCCCTGGGATTGCTGGAGTGCACCCATGAAAGCTGTCTGATGGCTTCCCAGATGAGTGCATATTGTTTTGAAAACAATTTCTGGGAGGTTATGGGCTCAGGAAAATCCATGAATGAATTTATGTTGGGAACACAAGTCTTTGAATATATCCATATCACTTTCTAGAATAAATGAGTCTTATTAAATGGCTACAGTTTCATGCATTACCCCTCCTTAATTCTCCTGAATATGTGCTCCTGCTATTACTCTTTGTTTCTATCCTTTGTTGAATTAGTGTGAGTCCTGCGTTTCTAAGTGTGCATACTGAGTTGTGCTTGGACTGCTACTGTATCAATGTGTGCTGTGGTTGTTGAATACAACTTATTTTGACTGCTGAAATCCAAAGAGAGGTGCAGATATCCAGGTTTTTCTTTAAAGAACATTGGAGTAAAATGTATAAGGCACTAAATTTTGGTTGAAATTCAAAAACCAAAGTAAATGACATTTATTTAGTAAAGGAATATAGTATTCTATACCTTCAATACCTTCCGTTTCCCATTTGGCCCCAATAGTTACACAATTCAAGTGTATTAGGGTCAGATGAGTTGATAGCTGTAGTCACATTGTCATTACAGTACAGTTATCTGTAGTAATGGTTACAGTATGTTGTGATGAGATAAAATTTAAGAACGCTTGGCATTTTTGCTTTCATTCTTAGGTGACAAGATAATTTTTTAAATTATTCCTTCTTAAAGTGAATCATCATTATCTTTATTTTGACTTCCTAAGTTTATCAACAGAAAAATGAAAGTCTCCATACTGGAACGTCCTTTTCCTGTGTATCTAGGTTGTCGCATACATTACCCCTCCTTAATTCTCCTGAATATGTGCCCCTGCTATTACTGGTGGTGCTGTGGGATAAGCACCCGACTACTATTATAAGGTTGGCAGTTCAAACCACCAGCTGATCTGTGGGAGAAAGATGTGGCTTGCTACTCCTATAAAGATTTATAGTCTTGGAAACCCTATACAGGATCAATATGAGTCAGGATTCAAGGATACATAGTAACAAGTTTATCACCATTTGATGGGTTTTTAAGCCTCTGATTTGAATTTTTCCAGTATTTACCTCTAACTTCTCTTTATATTAGTTTATTATTTTCCTCATGAATTTGATTTGTTTATCTGGTGGGGTTTTATTTTATATCCTGGGAAAAACTCAACTTTTTAGTTTACATGTCTGAAACTCTCTTCATTTTAGGCATTTAGGTAACAGCTTTGTTTTCCATCTAATTTAGCAGTCAACTAGTTGAGAAGATTCTGTGGCTTGAAGACACTGTAGCCTCTAGGCTCTAGACTGTAGTGGGTTGTGGCCCCTTTAAGAAGCTAAGGAAAGAGCATACACTTTGTAGTCAGCTAAAGTGGGATCTAGTATAGGCTGTTGTTTTTGTTATTGTTAGACTGTGACTGTGTATCACAGAATGAAACATTTCTAGGTCCTGTGCTACCTTCATGCTTTGTTCCATTGTCATGGCCTTTGTTAGTCCAGCTTCTTTGAGGGTTTCCGTTGTTTTCGCTGAGCTTTTGTTTTCCTTTCCTGATGATGTGTCCAAAGTAAGTGAGTCAAAGTTATTGCCATCTTTAATTATCAGGAACATTCTGATTATATTTCTTCTAAGACATATTTCTTTTCAACAGCACTTTCGTTTACTACCTGTTTTATTTTGTATCAATAAGACTCAGCTTCCTTTCTATAAAACTGAGGATAATAAGATTTACCTGTTAGCATTATTGTGAAGATTAAATAAAATGGTATGTGCTAAGTATTTGACATTTAGTAGCTTCTCAATAAATTTTAATTCTTGTCTTTTCAAGAAACATGCCTTTTACAGTATTGCTGATATGTGTTAAGGATTTATACTGAACACATATGATTATTATTATCGTTCCCTCATTTTGTTATCTACCTTCTAATAGCTATTTGATTAAGAAAATCTGCCATGCTTAAATATAATTAGCTTGAATCAGAACTTAATATTAATTAATATTAATAGAGCTGTCCTATTTAATGGTCCATTCCATTTTGTAATTTTAGCTCTCTTTTATTCTAAATCCATCTCATTTTTGTCAATAATCAGCTACAAGTTTAAAGAAATTGCTCCTGACAGTTTCCATGGAAACTATTAGACAGCAGAGAGAACAATCATTATTTTATGTATAGTTAGTAGATATTTTTATCTTATGTTAGATATGCAGTGGGTTTCCTTCAAGTAGGATGGGATTTTCAGAAAGCACTTGTCAGGTATATTCTGCTAGGAGCTCTCATCTCTTCTTACGAGGCCTTGCCCTGTAATCTTGTAAGATTTAGGAAATGGAGGCCATATAATGTGGATTAACTCTCTTGGCATGAATCTTGTCCTTAATGCTTATTCTTGTTCTATGTCAGTATCCCCAATGTAGGTGATACTTCATGAAGAACACAACTGCTTCTATCACTGCTTTATTGTTGTTGTTGTGTAGTGCCATCGAGTCGATTCCGACCCATACCAACCCTGTGTAGGGTTTCCAAGGAGCAGCTGGTGAGCTTGAACCTCCAACCTTGCAGTTCAGACAACTTTGCAGTCGGACCCATTAGTCCACAGCGCTACACCAGGACTCCATTTAGATTATTATATAATAGTCACGTTGTGCATTCTAAAGCTCTTGTGATTTTCTTTCTTCTGAGAGGTTAAAAAAAAAAAAGGTGGGGGGGGCGGAATAAAAGGAAGTCTTAAGAACTCCTGATTCCTACATCCAGGTGTCTACTGAACATGACTTAATTAGTCTATTTTGGGTTACTTAAACAAAACCTAGCCAAGATAAAACTCTTATTTTCTATCCTTATTCTTAACACTAACTTTGTTGTTAGGTGCCATTAAATTGATTCTGGATCATAGCAACCTTTTATAGTATAAGGTTTCTGAGGAGTGGCTAGTGAGTTTGAAATATCAACTTGTGGTTAGAAGTTCAGTGCTTATCCTACAGCCCAACGCCAAGACTCCACTGTAAACTTGCACCTCCTTAAATCTTCTCCAGCTCAGTAAACTAAACCTCCATTCTCTCAGTTGATCATGCTAAAATATAGTTGTTATTCCTTGCTTCCCTTTACCCTGTTTGTTCAGTTTATCTATAAATCCTTTCTATTCCATATGTGCCGTTTACAGGAGCAGAAAGCCTCATCTTTCTCCCGTGGAGCTGCTGGTAGTTTCGAACTGCTGACCTTGCTGTTTGCAGCCCGATTCGTAACCACTACGCTACCAGAGTGGATTACAAATCGGGCTGCTAACCTCAAGGTCAGTAGTTTGAATCTACCAGTCACTTGTGAGAAAAAGATGCGGCTGTCTGCTCCTATAAATATTTGCAGCCTCAGAAACCCTATACAGGATCACTATGAGTCAGAACTGACTCAATGGCACACCACCACCACCACCACTCCCATCGCTTAACCCTAGCCCTAACATTGTAATGCATTTCTCTCTAGCTGTGCTTCTACTCTGGGAGCACAGTGGCTCTGTTAGATAAGCATTGTGAACCACAAAGTCAGTGGTTTGAGTCCACCAGCTGCTCTGCAGGAGTAGATGAAACTTCCTGTTCCCACAAAGATTTACAGCCTCGGAATTTCATACATGGTCACTGTGAGTTGGAACCTACTTGATGACACTTAACAACAACTTCTACCTCTTTAATTCACCCTACTTTTAGCTCTGGTCTGTTGTTGTTAAATGCTGTTGAGTTGGTGCCGATTCAGTGATCTTGCATAGTGTTTCTGAAGAGTGGCTGGTGGATTTAAACCAACCTTCTGGTTAGCAGTCCAGTACTTATCCTAAGCCCCACACCTGAAATAGCTTGGTCTCCACAAATTTTCCTCACCACAGTGTGTTCTCCAGTGAGAATGATCTTTAAAATACACATGTCACTCTCCTGCTTAAATCTTCCAATTACCTTCATTACCCTTACCATGAATCCACAGTTTCTTCACTTGGGTTACAGAGCCCTGAGTATCCTGTTACTTTCCTATGTCTCTGACCTCCTTGTGGACACTCCTGTGCTCCTCCACTGATCTTCAGCCATGCCCACTTGTTCTCCATAAGAAACACAATTTTATTTTCACCATAGGATCTTTGTAGTAGCTCTTTCCTCTTCCTGGAGTGCTCTCTATATTGTTGTTTGGCTATCTGGCTGTCTTTTGTT